AGCTTTTATTTTACCCAAGCAGCTCTGCTGATGGGTGTGTCCCGCGCACGCACGGGCACGCTCGCACTCTTAGAAACTTGTTCGTTTTCTTAAATCAGCGTGAGTTTATAGGGTTGTTACAATTATTGAAAGAAGCGGGTACATATTTTTTGAGTCCCAGCACGAGGTATTGTAGAGCACAAAAGTAAAATTTTGATCCAAAAGATTTTCCACTAAGCTCGCCGTATATAAACACCGGCCGTGATGGCGGAAGGGGTTCGCGACCTCTTTTCGGTGATAGGGTAAGCACCGCCGAGCCTCGGCGTGGCGCGGTACGGCGCGGCCAGCGCTTGCGTGTGCGGCCCTGAGCTGTTTTATTGATAGTGCCCTTAACGTCCGCCCAAAAATCCACCCCACATGATTAGGGGCAAAGATATATGTTTGTATTTTTATTCCTCTTTCATTTCGGGAAGCTTGTCTGACTTGGTCGTCACGCCACTCATCGACCGGCGAGGGCTGCGATCGACGGGGAGGCCTTGGCGGCCTCGGCGGCCTTGGAGGGGTGCTCGAATCAAGTCTCGGTGTCCTTATCTCTGACGGCTGCCATTGTGACTTAGGCGGCGCGGCCCTCTTCCCGAGCGTCTTGACGGCCTCGGCGGCCTTGACGGGGTGACGGCCTTGGCGGCCTCCGCGGGGGCGCGGGGCAGGTGCGTGGGCGGGGCGATCCGCCTTGGCGGGGCCATGGCGGCGTGGCGCGGCGCGGCCTGGCGTGTGGCGATATTGCCCGGATTGGTCTATTACCGCCTGACGCGTGCCGCCTCCCGTTATCTCACCCTAACGCAAATTGCCGCGCCGAGGGGGAAAATGGATTCTGTATCCTGTTACGGTGTTGCGTCGCCACTCGGAAAGGTGCGGAGGTGCTGCATGCCCCCACGGCCGCGGCCTCGTGGACGTCCGCGCGGCCCCCAGGAGGGCCTCCCCAGGCGTCCCCGGGCGTCCCCGGCCTCCCCCGGCCTGGGCAGGTCGAGAGGCCGCCCCCGGCGAGGCAGGCGAGGCAGGGGGAGGGAGACGCGCCTCTCGTCGGGCGTAATAGACGCAGGATGGGGTGGAGAGCCCCCGAGGTAGCGAGGCACGGCACGGCACGGTGTAGGGTGGCTGGGTCGGCGTTTTTAGCCCGCGCGTCCCCGCCGGCGTTGTAGTGAGGTTAGAGCTGACCCCCACCTGTCACTTCGGGTTACCGGGCCGTGTAGGCGCGGGGCGGTGCGGTCGTGCGGAGAGGACCTGTCCCCGCCAGCCACCGCCAGGCAGCCAGGCCGTGGAGCACGTCGTGGAGGGCACGAAGGCGGTGAGGGCCAGCCCCACAGCCCCAACCCGCAGCCGGGCAAATGGCAAATACTGGCAAGTTGATTGATGCGTTGCTTCATGCAGCAAGCTTTTCCCCGTCGGGCTGCGAAGCCGAGCGAGTGAATTGGGCGTGCTGGGCGGGGTGGAGTGGGAGCCATGTTCCAGTGTAGGGGTTGATTTCCCTGTCCGGTCAAAGGGAAGGAGGCTTTGGAGCCGCAGGTGCCGAGCCGTTGCGCTGCGACCGACCCCATTCGCCCCATTCGCGAAGGCGCCACCTGCTACTCGCGCCGCTCCCTGGCGGCACCGCCCGGCCCGGCACCGCCCGCCGCGCTGCGCGAGTCCCTCCAGACTCCAAAGGTCCACCGCCAGGCCGCCGTGCCCTCGGCCGCGCCGGCAGAAGCAATATAATGTTTCTGGAAGCAGGTTGGCCGACTTGCGTCGTCTGATGCTGGCCTGGGAGTCCCTGCACAGCGCGGCCCAGCCTGGGACGAGACGCCGCGACCCACAAACGCAGCCAGCCTTCTCTGTGGCTGTGCGGTGCTGTGCGGCCAGCCCGCTGATGCTGCCTGTGTAGTGCTCCACCCCATCCCTCGGTACTTCGATCCTTCTGGCCTTGCCTCGCCTCGCCTCCTTAGCACGGCCAGGCTGTGCCTCGCCCCGCCCCGCTCCGCCCGCCGAGTCGAGGGTAGGCAACGTGCCCGACAGCGGGACTGCGGCGTCGGCGAGACCCGCCTCGCCTTTACGGTGCTGGTCACTCTCTGGCTAGTCACGTACTGGATGTTGACACAATCAGTGAGTGGGTGTGGGAGTAAAGATACATAAGGAAAGAACGTGGCCGCCCGGAATTCCGGCTCTTTGATTATCCAAGCAGGTCTCTCGATACTGACTCTCTGGAGAAAAACAGTACGATGTTAGGACGTTGAGGAGGAAGAAGAAGGCAAGGGGGAGTCTTGTTTCCGATGTGGCGGCCGCCTTGCAGCCACTACAGAGCACTCCCCGGCAAGGTGGTTGTGACGGCGTGGACCGCGTGGACGGCCCCTCTGCGCACACCCCCGTTCTTTTCACTTAGGGGCGGGTGCAACGAACTCTCCGTCTGCCTTTCTCACACTCACACACACGCACACACACAGATGGGCGCCATAAAGGAGCAGCGCGTGCTCGGGGCGGATATCGACACCGATTAAGCGACGCGCGCGCCCGCCTGTAAGAAGGCTCTCTTTTGTGCCGAATCTGCCTTCTTGGGGCGCAAAGTTTGGTGGCCGCCGAGGCGTGAAGTGTTTGTTTGGCCGGCTGGGCCTGCCTGCCAGGCTGCCCGCCTTGGCCTGGGTCCCGCCCCTCCCACGACGCCGCAGACTCCACGGAGGAGCATTGTTCTTGTCTGCCGAGCTTTGGCGTGATGGAAATGTACTTATTTCTCGATACCCTTGCTGCATGGCTTCATGGCGCGGCCTGGCGTGACCCTCGCCCTTTGGGCCCTTTGCGTGTCCCGACCTTGGCACTCGCCGGCACCACGCCCCGCACGTGTTTGTGTGTGTGTGTGTGTGTGTGTGTGTGTGTGTGCGCGCGCGTGCGTGCGTGCGTGCACGTGCGACGACCACGCCTCGTGATTGGAGCGCCGCATTATCCGCGCGGTGTCACGCAGCCGACAATCATTCGGGCAATCGCAGCAGGGTGTGGCCCTGTCCGTCTGTCCGTCTGTCCATCCGCCTGGCGGGACAATGGGCCGTGGGACGTGGCCGTCTTGAACGTCGGTGATTGGTGAGTCGTCCCGCCCCTTAGCTCGCCCTGATGAGTTAAGCGTCGCGACGCGTGTCAGGCGCAGTCGAGGGGTGCCAGAGAGAGAGAGGGAGAATCAAAGACGCCGAGGCAGCGCCCCGTCGTCAAGCCGGCTGCTGCTCCGCTGCTCCACTCCACCGCAAGAAGGCGTGGAGGATGGCAGTGTGGGCGCTTTCCGCTTCGAGGAGACACTCGCTGTGCACTAATGGAACGCCTCGGGACGGTGGTGAGGTCGGCCTGTCTGCCCGTCTGTGTGCCTACCTGCCTGTGGCATGCGAGGGCCGCCCAGAGGGCCACCCAGCCGCAGGGCCACCCCGTGGAACACCCAGAGGGACGGCCAGAGGGACGCCCAGAGGCACACCCTGAGGCACACCCAGAGGCACACCCGGAGGCACACGCAGAGGGACACCCAAAGGGACACCCAGAGGGACACGAGGGTGATGTCCCCGTCCCACCCTGGCACCCGGAAGCGTGACGGGGCGGGAGGTTCGACACGTCGGGTGCGTTGCGCTGCGCGCCCCCAGGCTTACGCGCTGACAGGATATTAGTCATCACAGCCAGTCAGGTTTAGGACCTCGCCCACCCCGGCCTGGCCGGGCCCAGCCCGCCCCACCTCGTCGGGACAAATTTTTCAACTGTCATTTCTTGTTTGGGTGGACGGCAGAGGGAGACCCAGGTGGTTCGGGTCGGAATTGGTTTCAGCGTGGAATTTGGGGTGGGTGCAGGACGGGACAGCGACTCCCGACAGCCTGACCGCCACGCCGACCGTTTCCCGTTTCGCACTCGTCGTGTCGACCTCGTTAGCCCGCGTTAGCCCGCGTTAGCCCGCGTTGGCCGGGAGAGGCTGGTATTCGGCCGGGCGAGGTGGCACAGTGGCCGGTGGCGGCGATGGCGCCGCAGAGTCGTGTTGCGGGAAGGCGGGCTGAAAAGGGTCGCCGTGCGGCCAGTGGCGGCTGGCCGGGGGACGGTGCGGTGGGCAGGACGGCAGGGCTGGCCCAGGCCAGCTCAGGCGACTCAGGCCGCGCCTGCTACGTGCCCCAGCCTGTTTTGCTCCACCTGCCCGGGACCTGCCCCGAGCGCGCCGCCAGCCTGCCGTAAATTTGAATAACGCAGCGATCCTCTTTTCCTCGCTGGAGGCTGGGAGGCTACAGCACGAGTTGGTCGGCCCTCGCGGCGCGCGCGGTGTTCCAGTGCGAGTGACGCGCGCTGATGGCCGCCTCGCGACGCCGCCTCGCGATGCCGCCGAGCGAGCGCTCATGACGAACAAAGTCTATTTATGTGTAATGCAGGCCGGGCCGCCCGAGACAGGCAAAGTTGGGCCGTGGAGTGCCGCACTGTTTTCAGCAGCGGGGTAAGCGGCTTTGGCGCGTCCCGCCCCGCCGGGTGTTGAACCCGGGCCGGCCGTCGCCGAGCGTCGTCAGACTACGACGACCCGCTACGGGAAGGCGCAGAAAAAACAGTCTAGAACCAAGGCCCGCCACGCGGCTGGGATGTAGCGATGGCATTACTTTCGAATAAGCAATCCTGCCGGGGCGGGGGCCGTCCGTAAGCACGGCAGGCGTCCCCAGCGCGCTGCACCGACGGGGTGACACCAACGAGTGGCCGAACCAGCTCTTGTCGCCGACGTACGGCGTCCCATGTGAGTCCGGCCGACAGTCGGAGATGAGGCCCTCACTGTGTACTCCCGGCCAGCTGCAAGTTTGTTGTCTCTCCCCAGAGCTTCTTTATGCTCAACACCCCGCCTGCTTTTCCAGCTGAGGCTTACATGGCCAGTGGGGGCGAACTCAGTGTGTGCGCGTCGTCTTGTACCCCTTACAAATTCATTTTAAAAACATTTATGAAACCCGTGTCTGTTGCTTTGTCGTGACTGACGTGGCTGTTTTTGTTGTTGTTGTTGGCAGGTACTACGCCATCACCAAGCCGCTGGAGTACGGCGTGAAGCGCACCCCGCGGCGCATGGTGGGCTGCGTGTCACTGGTGTGGCTCATGGCCGCGTGCATCTCGCTGCCGCCCCTGCTCATCCTGGGCAACGAGCACGAGCCGCCCGACGGCAAGGGCCCGCCGCAGTGCACCGTCTGCCAGAACTTCGGCTACCAGGTCAGTCAAGTTGCTTTCAACAGTGCAGGCCTCTCGCCACTGTTCATTTCCGTCCGAGTCTAGGTGGCCTTACAATGCGTGTCCGCCCATGTCCGGCGTCCCAATATTGGCGTTTTTGTTGAGAAAAGTTCGCATATGATGGTTTAAAAGGGTTAAGAATAGTAATTAACATCACATTCCTGTTACATTTGGTTCAAATAGTGCCAATAATCGGAGGACGGACATGGCCGGACACTCATTGTAAGGCCACCTTCTGCCTCGCACGAACTGCGAAACTGCGACGCTAAAAAAAAATCAATTGCCAGTTGTTCCTGGCCGCCCACTGCGCCACGCTCGAGCCCCGCGCCCACACGGTCAAAATGTGGCCTCCATTATGCAGACAGACGTGACGTCACTGCGTCCTACACTAATAACGGCGCGCTTATTGTGTTCTGGCACAATGGCGGCGTCCTAGCGCGGCGGAGGGCTGGAGCGACTGGAGCGCTGGTGCCTCGGCGGGGCAGGCCGGCCTGGGGTCGCGGCGCAAATACTACAAGTTGGACGGCACATCGTCACATGGTCGCTCGGCCCGTCACAAAGGGTGACGCGAGTTGGCCGAGCATATTAACTTGGTGGTGCGGGGCAAACGCGACAAACGAAAGAGTCAAGCCGGGCGGCGGCTGAGCGCGGGTCCCTCGCTCTATGGGCTGCCCGCGTAATGACTCTGCGAGAGCGAGAAAGGGGAAGGGGGACTTGAATGGAGTTGGCGGGAAATCGGCAGCGTATTATGGGACCTCTTTGGCTTTCTCCTCACACGCTCGCTCTCACACACAAGCAGACGCACACCCCGATACACGTGAATGACGAGCACCCCCCTCCCCCTTTTTGCCAGGTTCATTATGCATTCTCCCTTGGGCTGGCTGGCTGCAAGTCTGCACGCCGAACTCTGTCCGATTTCCGCCCCACTCCCAGCGTGTCGGATACATTAATTATCCGCCGCGCTGTTTTCCTCTGCGTTTCGAAAAATGCTTCGGCTGTGTAGGACGCGTGTCGCTATTCCCCCGTTCGTGTTTATTTAATTAATCCAACAGGCCAACTTTGATTCGGTTTCGCAGAGGCTGCGCTGCATAGCCCTCCGGATCGGGGCCCCCGGCCCCAGCCCCGCCCCAAGGGAATTCACACAACAGTGCCCCTAGTTGATTTGCCTTATTTCGGGCCACGGGGCCACGGCTCCGCTCCGCCATTGTTTCCGAGTCCGCCGTACTTGCTCGCCGACGACGGGGTGCTCTCCGCCCCCACCGAGGCCCTGAAGCACACCAAGACCTGCCGGGACGGTTCATGAGGTCGAATCATGTTGACCAGTGGATCGCCCTTCAGACAAGGAGGGTTTTATTCGAGAACCATTCGAGGCTAATATTCCTGGTGGTCCGCTGTGCGTCCGGGACACTGGACGGAAGGACTGGTGCGGCGCCTCGTCAAAGGAAGCGGCGGACAAAAGACGGCCACAATGACACACACGCCAATGGCCGGGGCGGGGCCGCGCGTGGGAACGAAAACAAAGTGTCCGTCCGCTCGCTCGGAAACCTTGGCAATTGGATTGGCCAGCCCCAGCCAGCCCGGCAGTGCAACAGGAAAAGCAGATAAGAGCGTTATGAAAGACTGCCACACTGGCGGCGCTGCTTCCGGGCGGCTGCAGCGCGGAGAACAACATGGAGGCCGTGAGGGGCTATGACGCGGAGCCCCGACGTGGAGCCTGCGTCGTCCCGGCCCGGCCCGTCGTGATGTGACGGCCGGGCTATCTTCCTGCTTCAGGCCTTCAGGCCCTTCACGCTGCAGCTTCTTTCTCGGCTCTCTTCTTCTCCTCTCCGCTGCAGCGCCGTTTCTCTGCACTCGCAGACGCTGGCCGCGCTTGGACCAGGCCGCCTGCCTGCCTGTCGACGCGTAAATTTTGAAGCGGCCTGGCGCGGCGTGGCCCGGCCCGGTACGTGCGCATGTGCGTCTTGCTGCTCGCTGCGGCCTTGTGTTCCTCTTCTTTTTGCCCGTCTGTGTGTGTGCTGCAGGCAGTTGGGTGGGTGGGAGAAAGAGAGGAGGGGGGTGACAGAGGGATAGAGAGAGAGGGAGGAAGGCAAAAAAGAGCGAAAGGGGTGGAATGGCGGAGCGGAGGAAGTGGGGGACGAATTGCCGACCGTCCTCCCCATATAAAATCCATCAGGTGTGAAGCGCCACCGACCCAGTCCGGCCTGACCTTTGCCCCGCCCCACCTCGCCCCGCCCCACCCCACCTCGCCCCGCCCCACCGCTGGCTGAGCCGAGTGGGTGCGCCAGCACCACGTCGGATGCTGTTTATATTTCATGCCTCCTGCCCCCGTCCACCGTGGCAGTCCCAACTCTACTTTGATAATTGTCTCCTCTTTTTTGGGGGGCGCGTGTGAGTTTGTTTTGTCTGCCGGTTATTATTTTACCCTCTTCATTTTTACCCCTGGTTCAAACGTAAGGATTGGTTGCGGTGAATGTTTTTTTTTTTTGCGTGTGCACCGCCCATGCCTGGCGCGATAGGGCGTGGCGTGGAGGGGCCATACAGCACAGGCGAGGCTGGCGCAACGCCAAATTAAAATTGACGCGCGGGCCGCGTGCAGCACGCCACGCCGCGCCGCGCCGCGCCAGCACACCCACAAATTAAATTGCAGCGACGATGTAACGGCCGCAATGACGGCGTGACGCTGTTGACGTTGGTGCTTGTGTTGCAGATCTACGCCACCCTGTGGTCGTTCTACATCCCGCTCACCGTGATGATCGTCGTGTACTACAAGATCTTCCGGGCGGCGCGGCGCATCGTGCTGGAGGAGCGTCGCGCGCAGACGCACCTGGGCCCGCCGCACGGCTACCTGCAGCCGTCGGCGCCCACGGCCTGCTGCGCCTACCACAACAGCACCCCCGCGGCCGGCGCGAGCGGTGGCGGCGGCGGCAACGGCGTCAAGAACGGCGGCACCTCGCCCGACGTCATGCTCTCCAACACGCTGCTCACCACGCCCGGCTCCGGCCCCGGCGGCAACGTGTCGCCGGGGTCGTCGCCGGCCGCGTCCACGCCGGCCGCCCGCCAGCACCGGCCCTCCACCACGAGCACCAACACCACGGTGAGTGGGCCGGCCGAACCAAGGGCCCCAGAACCCGAAGCCAGAACGCGAGAACGATGTCCGCGGAAGGCCTGTTTGTGGCGGCCGAGGCGCGACTACACTAATGCGGAAATGAAGGCCAGTCTGGCTCGCTGGCGATCGCGGCTCGGCGCTGTGTGTCTGTGAGGAAAATGGAGAATCCAAATGAAGAGAGAAAGGGGGGGGGGCGAAACTCGCTCCAACTACCGCCGCGTCTGGTCCCTGCGGAGGAGTCTGGCTGGAGGGGAGGCGGCGGCCAGGGCGGCCAGGGGGAGGGGGGCAGGTCAGAAGCGCACACAGAGTAAATAGGATTTGGGCATTGTTCCGGTTACAATGCACGCCGCCCAGACTGGCTCACCTGGCCCCCCAGGCCCCAGGGTGAGGGGCCGAAGGGAGAGGGGCTCCGAGGGAGGGGCTCTTGACGGGTCACTCCGGCGGGCAGAGCGTTGGCAGCGCGCACCTGGGCCTGGGCTTTGACGGGGGCGTGTTCGGCGGGGCGGCCGACCCTCACGGCGCCCCTTAGCGAGCACATGCGGGCCAACGCGGAGCCAGTGAGCGCGAGAGAGAGAGAGAGAGAGAGAGAGAGAGAGAGAGAGAGAGAGAGAGAGAGAGAGTCATTATTGACCGCCAAACGAGCCTGCCGTTTTGAGCAGCTTGTATCCTACTTGTACTTGCCGAGGAGAAAAACAACTTTTCTAATAAAATTCAACAAGTGGAGGAAAGAAATTATTAAAACGGGACACGGGGAACAGCGGCGCAGCCCGAGTTTGCCAACTTCTTGAGGACGCCGGGACGCCGGATGTCGGCAGGGCTCGGGGCGAGACGAGGCTGGACGAGAGGAGACAGGACGTGCACATTGTATAAACTACTGTCAATCCCGAATCAGTATTCCGGCCTTTTAACCGCGTCGCCACTGTTTCGGGCTTTCGGGCTCGTTCCTCTTTTTTTTCGCTTTTGAAAAGTTGCGCTCAAGCAGCGCACGCCGCGCCCTCCGGAGCGGAGAACGGCGCGTCTCGACTGCCGGGCGGCCGGGGAATGACAAAGCAGAGAGAGAGGAGAGAGAGAGAGAGAGAGAGAGAGAGAGATGCAGGGGAAAAATTAGAGGGGAACGAAGGGGCGGCAGCGGGCGAGGCCGGGCGAGGCAGCAGCAGGCTGTACACGGAATAACACAGGTCGGGCGGGAACTGATTCCGAGTCTGAGGGCGCAGCTTGCAGATTTAGGACCGGTGACGAGTCTCTCTCTCTCTCTCTCTCTCTCTCTCTCTCTCTCTCTCTCTCTCTCTCTCTCTCTCTCTCTCTCTCTCTCTCTCTCTCCTCTCTCTCTCTCTCTCTCCCTCCCCCTCCAGCCAAGGGCCGTGTTCTCGCCGTCCCTCGCGAGGCCTTGCTACCCTGAGCCCAGCCCGGCCGCCTCCGGGCGCCGCATATATTTCCCCCGCACTCGGAATTGCTTACCGCTTTCGACCCCGCCAACCTGTTGCAGTGCACTCACCTCGCGGGGCAGGGGGCCGACGGGGGCGAGGCTGATTTAGGAATACTTCTCGCGGCCAGGCATTATCATGCATTTCCCGGGTCGCGGCGGCCGCCCGCTTTCCTTGCATGACCTCTGACCCGGCGACAGCTAAAAAGAAACAACGTTTTTAAAGTGATGTTTGAAAAGGCAGAGGTTGTCGGTCTGGAAAATAGCCGCGACTGCGCTTTCCTAAACGAGGGCCGACTGGGACGTTGTGATGAACGCGGCGGGGGACTGGGAGAGCCTTGACCGTTGCGACAGTGGCTTCCTTTGCAACGTCTTCCTCGGAGCAGTCCGGGCCGCACGGCCACTCTCGAGATCACCTCCTCGTTTGACAAAGCAGGTAATGGCCGCCGCCGGCCACACACAGACTGAGTGGCGGTGGCCGCCCGCCCCGGGGAGCCATGCCTCTTTCTTAGGGCGGCCACTGTTAGCGGACGTTATTACCTCGTGGCGGGTCGTTCTAATCTTCGTCCCGCTTTCTTGCTCCCTCCACTGTAAGGGACGTCCGTCGCCGGCCGGGTCGCGTGAAGGGAAGGGCGCATGGGCAGCAAGCTCGCGGAAGAAACCGCCTTTCCGCGAGGGTTCCCAAAAACTTGCCAACACCTCGAGTTATTTTTCTCGTTTTGTTGAACGGGGGAAACGGTGCGGCGCGGCAAGCCAACTCCAATTGGATAACGTCTCCGGGGCAGGAAGGGGACGGAGACGGCCGTCATGTTGGCAGTGGCGGCACAAATGAACTGGCTCCAGCTCCACGTCGCGCCGCCGTTTCCTCGTCAGGCGGGCCGAGACGCACTCGCGAATGAGCGTCGTGAGCAGAATCGAGAAATTGCGTTTTGGAATTGTGAATTATCCACAGGACGTGCCGCCGTATTTACCCCGCTCTAATGGCATCTTTATCGGAACGGAAAATGAAATGTTCTCTCTGGTGGGCGACGTTTTCGGCGTGCCGACGACGAAAAATGGAATGCAAGACACGGTCGGCGCCGGTCTTCTGGCCCACTTTGCGAAGCCTTGGAGAATGTTTGCGCCGTGGGACACTGGTAGTCCGCGCGGATGCTGCTGGAGTTGGGCTGCCCAGCGCGCCGCTACGCCGCTGCAACCAATGGATGCGGGTGCCAGCATGCCTGCCATTCCCCGCCCAAAACTTCTCATTGGATTTCCGCATGGCCGGAGCTTTTTAAGCCGGAACCGTGGACGCGAAAGCGCGCAAGCGGCCCCGATGCGTCGGCCGGATACATATGCGCGCCGTTGTAATTTGGCTCATCCGTCCAATTTCACTTTCCAAGCCTAAAACCATCTCCATTTCGAATATTTATATATAATTTTGCTGCTTCGTTTGCATTGCCTGTCCCGTCTTTGAAAAAAATATTTCCTGTAAAGTGTGTCAGGGGGATCCCGCAGCGCAATCGTAATTGAATGTATAAAAAGCGGATTAATATAGCTTTGGCGGAAAAGAGGGGAGGGGGGACGGCAATTGAGCTCGAAATGTAATTTGGTCCGCCTGTCCGTTTGGATTCGGCGCGCGCGTCACCGGATGTGTCACAATGCTGCACGCGAAAATTGAAACGCTGACCCGTTTATACTATTTGGACAGTTTCTGGCCGACCCTTTCCTGGGTTCTGGACTCGGTGCAAGTCCTGCACGGCCTGCCGGTGGATATCGATTTATCGAACGCCTTTGAACTCCACTCCACTTTACTCCGCGCTGATCCCCGACGGCAATTCCATTTCGTTTTGTTTTTTTGTTCGTCACTGCTCTTAGGCCGGCGCTGCAGAGACTCCGAGACTCTCGAGCGGGGTCGCGTTTCGGCAGCGGCGCGCCCTGCCCCGTGTCGAGAGATCGCGAGAGATCGAACAAAAGATGCGCAGTTCGGTATAAAAAGGACCCTGCAAAATTTCATTTGTGGCGGGAGGATCAAAGCGATATCTCGGTCAGGGAGCCCTGCCATGAGGGCTGCCGTACCCAGGAGGGAACGCCCTGGCTGTTAACCGACGGAAAATCCAAGGTGAAACCTTTGCGACGATCTTGGTGCCCACGGCGGAACCAACGACTACCACCCTGGACTGATCCGGACTGCATCCCAGGGATGTGGCGATGTTGGTTGCCGTAGTAAGGTCTTGAAGGCAGCTCGTCTGGTTGGCTTCGATCTGCGATGGTGAGCAGTGACCCTGATGTGCAACAATGGCCGACTCCCCCACCCTCTTTCGCGTGCATTATTATTTAGGGGCCGCTTTATGTCGGGCTGCTCGGGGGTGCCGTGGCCGTGGCCGTGGAGGCAGCCAAGTTTGAGGCATGTGGGCTACCGGTTTTCCTCAGCCGGCCACAAACTTTGCTCACGAGCTCACCGTCAAACGAAGACCTTGGGCGCCGACCTCCTTCACTTAACGACGCGCCCTCACTCAAACTTGCGCCGAATTTCCATAAAAATATAAATAGAGTTCTGGAACTCGCGGAGAATGAACCAATTATGCTGTTGATTTTCCTCATTGCCCCGTCGGCGATGGAAGCCGAGTCTCGTTCTCGGAACAGCGGGTTCGTGAAGGATTTAACAGTGCCTTCCCCGCTTCCTTCCGCGCGGCTCGGCATGTTGCCGGGCGAGTATCTTTCCGGCTCATAAACTTAACCGCGGCGATTAAGATGGCCCGGTGGCAGGCGGCAGGGACAAGGACTTGATGGCGGTGATGATGGGGTCCGAGAGCGACGCGAACGCGCGACGCGACGTCGCGGGGGAAGCGAAGAAGGCCGAGAGGAACGCCCGGACGACCGCGTGGCTTTCCCGCGGAATGAGGACATGGAGCACTGGGGCGCCGCGCAGCCACAGGGTCCTGGAGTCCTGACTGCGGCAGTAGAGGACCCCTCGACTCGTCAAAACCGCAACAGTTTCTAGCTACCCGAAAAACGCAGTCGCGTTGGTCGCGTGGTTTCTCGCCAAGTAGAATGATTGCCCCTTGCATGAGTGGGATGTGAGCGCGGGGCGTTTTGTCTTTGTCATTTTCTTTGTGGGGGAAGTAAAAGGCCGTGGCGACGGCGGCCTCCAGCCTTCTTAGCTTCGCGGGGCTCTCGGCGTCTGCTCGGCGTGGCGCGCGACTTTTACGGCCGGTCAGCGAGAAAGTAGTGCAGGATGGCGGTTTTATTGCAACCTGCCTCCCTGCCTTTCTTCGCTGCTGTCTGCTGGGCTCGCTGCTGGGCCCCGCGATGTAACCAGCAGAGGATTCTTTCATCAAGTGAATCTCATCGCGTCCCCAGTTCGCATTCGGGCCAGGACCCTTGGACTCGTTCTGAGCTGTCTAGTCCACAGTCGGGACTCGAATCAAACACTCGAAGGTACCGATCGATTCCTCGTTCGAGGCGGTCCTTTGATGCTGCTCGAGTTCCGTTTGAGGATTAGAGAACTCGCAACCACGGCGGGCGGGCGGAGGCGGTGCGCGGACGCATGGAAGCGAGCAGGTGCATCTATTTCTAATCCACG